GTCATTTTAAAAACATTTCTCCCTCGTGATCTCTAGGTTTTGTGATATCATCATAATGTTAACTTTTAATTTAATACCATTATATCATATGGAAAAAATGTAATGAATCATCTTATTGATTTTTTTTATATCTTGCTGCAGATTACCAATTTTCATGAATATTAAAAGATTCATTGATGAAAATCGTACTCTGCACTTGAATTCCAAGATGCATGAAGTATTAATTCTCTTAACTATGATGAAACAATTTTGATTCTTCAGTACAACCGAAAATATGCTTCTCATTGTTTCTTTATTTGAATGTTTTAATGTTATAGGAGATAAATTAAACTATATAATGTATATCCTTTTTTTTTTATCTAGACATGTCATGGGTTTTGCCTAATTTAATGTTTTTAGTTTTTGTTCATTCCATTTATAGTGGTTATCGAGTAAATATAACAGTTGCAATTTCGCCATGCATTATGTCTCGAATAGACTATTTTCCAGGGTGATTATGAATGACGAATTGAAATGAGAATAATGGGACATTAATTTTTGTGTTTCTTTCCTCCTCTTCGGGTGTGTGTAGGATAATGGGGCCATTTAATAAGCTCATGAATTGAGAATAAACAAAATTTTGTGAATTTTTGGATGTTCCAATCTCTCATTTTTACCTTTTCTTTTATATTTTTTTTTCAATGATCTACTATTGTGATTGAATGGCCAGTAGAAGAAGTTGAGAAATAAAATAAAGCTTCGGGCCCATAACTGAATTTTTGAGTTTTTGTATTATGTTCCGTTTGGTAATGTAATGTAATCTTTAAATCGGTTATTTATAAATTTTACGAATTTACTAATAATAAATTACCATTAAATGAGTAAGTAATGTAATTGCGGCATGTGGGTTTGAGTTTTCACTATTATTTGGGTTACTTTTTTCATATTATCGCTCCTATCATTTTTCACTATTATTTAGGTTACTTTTTTCATATTTTCTTATCCTCTACATAATTTTTTTCTCTATATAATTATTTCCTATCTCTCAATATGCTTTTCTTCTACGTTTGTCTCTCACAAATACTTTTATTCTTTTTATCATTTTAGAAATTTCTCTCCCTATTGATCCTTATGTTTTGTTTTATCATCATAATATTATTTTTTTCTACCATTATATCATACGAAAAAATATAATGAATATATTATATTATTATATTAATTTATTATTAATCATTTATTGTATTATTTTATGATATATTATTTTCTGTAATATAATATATTACTAAAAATTTGGCCAATTAATATCTAATTATATCATAAAGTAGCATTATCATTTTACTCTTTTTTATTTTTCAATTTTTACACTACGTAATTGATAGTAATCATTTATTAGCATTACCCGTTAAGAGGTAAAAAAAATATATTACCAAAACTTACATATTAGAGAAATCAAAATAACAAAATAAAAAAAAATAAAACAGTTAGCTATAAAAACAGGTAGGAAATATAATTATGTATTGTTCCAGTGTCATACTTCGTGATTTTTTGTTGTTGTGTATATATGTATATATATATATACTTCGTGATTTTTTTTTGTTGTGTATATATACATATATATATATATACATACATATATATATATATATATATATGTATTGACAAATCAAACTGATGCATCAATAAGGGTTGCGATTATGTTGATTCAAGAGAAAAAAAAAGAAAACACAAATTAAACAGGTACCAAAAAGAAAAAGGGAACATAATTATGTATTCTTCCAGACTTCCAATGTCGTATTTTGTGACTTTTTGTGTTGGGTATATATATACATATACATATATATATATATATATATTATTGGTAATTCCGCAATACTCGGCTGTTAATCAATTAGGGTTGCCATTAATTTTACTTTTGTTTCTCCTTTTTTTAAATTTTAGTTATTTTAGTCTTATCTAGAAATTCATGATTTAACATTAAAAATTATCGTTAAATGATGGAGTGATGAAGTTGCGATATATGGACTTGGCTATCAAATTTTGCACCATGTGGATTAGCATATCTGATTTTCCGATATGTGTACGATTGAAAACTCTCTTTTACTATATACTAGTGTTTACCCCATACGTTGTGCGGGTTGTTCAAGATATATATGAGGTTAATGATTTAACAATTTTATGATGTTTCTGATGCAGTAATATATGTAAAATAAATATTATTAATTATAAAAATTGCAATTGTATAATTTTTAAGTTCAATATCTTTTGCTCCTTTAAGTACATTTAGAATAATTTTTAATATTTGAAATCATTCAATGTAACTTATTATCTATCTTTCTCGTTATGTTGAATTATGGTTTTATATATTTTAAAAGTATTTTCTTAATTTTTCATAATGATTTCTCTAAAAATTTCTACAAGTGTCATATCTTTTAATTTTTCCCTCTAACAGAAAATGATCTCATATATTTTTTCATAAGCTTAACTTTTTTTTTCCATCTCTCTATATATCTTTTGCAACCTTTTTTTAGAAGTTTGTTCGTATATTTTCCTATGATATAATGTTTACTTCAATTTTTTTGGGTTGCATAGTGTTCACATTTTTATTCCCCCTAAATTTAATGATCTCTCTTTAAAGCTTAATTTCTTAAAAATTTTATAATAATTCTTCAATGTTTCACTATTATCTCAATTTTATTTTTCATATTTTTTATTCTCTACATAATTTTTGCTCCTCCACATAAGTATTTTCAATTTTCTCACTATGCTTCTCTTCTACTGTTTGTCTCTCTCTCACACACCTTTATTATTTTTCTCATTTTGGAAAATTTTTCTCCTTATTGATATCTACATTTTGTTTTATCATAATAATGTTAACTTTTTCTACCAATATATGATATGGAAAAAATATAATGAATATATTATATTATTATATTAATTATTAGTAATCATTTATTATATTTTATTTTAATATATCATATATATGTTATTATATTGTTAAAAATTTACCGATTAATTTTAATTATAATATTAGTGTTATTATTATTTCAATTTTTTTCTTTGTAATTTTTACACAATGTAATCAACAATAATCATCATTTATTAATATTGCAAGTCAAGGAGCAATAATATATTATCATAAAAAATTACAATCGAAGCACCACCAGTTGAAAGAAAAACTAAATAACCATAAAAAAGAGAAAAAAAACCCGATTAATGGTTACACTTTAACACAAAGCTATAAAAATCAATATTGATTAGTATATTGGTTTTTCTCATCATGACCTTTGGGGTTTTTCCTTCACATCAAATTGGTTTTTTTGTTTGTTTATTTCAGGTTGCCATCTTTGGAGTTTAGCTTGAATTTTTTTTCGTCACCCTTCTTTTTTTACAATTAAAATTTATCGTTAATGAGTAATTAATCTCCAAGTTAGTTTAGTTTTATCTATAAATTTATAATTTTACATTAAAAAATTATCATTAAATGATGGGGTGATATGGTAACGACATATGCACTTAGATATATAATTTATAAGTAATGAAGTATAAAAATACTTTTATACTATGAATATTATAATTCTGTATGTTTGATTAAGGGTACTTATTTGGCAGATTAGGCACATTAATGTTAGTCATAAATTAATTCAGTAAATTTTGTGATAATATTCGGATATTAATTCACTGATTTGTCTTCCTCAATATTTAGAATAAGGTTGATTTTTATGTTCATCTTTTATGAATTTTTTTTCTATTTATCCACCAATTTAGGCGAGCTCCCAATCTCCGACCATTATATTTTATATTTTCATACTTTTTGGACATTGAGAGACATATACGTGGGAAGATTTGTTTGTTTCCATAATTCCATTGATTTGATGAAATTTTGGAGCTTTAAATAGAAAAATTAAACCAATTAAAATTGGTTATTTACTATATATTTTAGGGATTTACAAATGAAAAATTACCATTAAATGATGGAGTGATGTCCTTACCACATGTAGACTTGGTTATCTAGTTTTGCACCACGTGGATTAGCCTATCTAAATTCGCGCCATATGTCTGATTAAAAACTCTTTTTTAATATATATAGAGATATATATGTATAAGATTCTGAAATTCCGATGTTACTGGCTGTTGTACTAATTGAGTAGAAGAAATCATAATATATATATATATATATATATATATATATATATATATATATATACATGCAGCCAATATATATAAATATATAGTACCAATATTACTTAATCATTAACACCCCAAAATCTTATTTCATTAGCCATCAATTATAATCCCAACACATTGAAGCACACTCCACTGTTTGATTTTTATTTAAAAAAAAAAATTGATATGGCCCTAGTGAGAATCGAACACTCAACCTCCTGATAAAAGGGATGTCTATTCCTGATACGACCTATGAATCGGACACGAACTCGACACAAAATTAAACGGGTTTAAGTTGAGATTTTGAACCCATATAATAAATATGTTTGGTCGGATTGACATGTTTATTAAACAGGTTAGGTTTGAGTTGATCTGACGGATTATGCGGGTTACTCATTTAACCTGTATAATACTAATTTACCTAAACCTTCTTAGATATAACTATAATTTTAGCGTTGATTGATCTTAAACAATATTTATAAACACTCTTTTTTTCTTATCCCTTTAATATTTCAAATGGATATTACTTTTTCATCCAAATATAAATGATAAATTACACAATTATTAATTTTTTATATTAATATATACATTTTTTATTTTTTTAAAATTGTACGGGTTAAATGAGTCTACCTAGATAACTTATATTATTAAATGGATTGGTTTGGGGTTGAGATAAAAATAGCCGGGTTGGGTCCAACCCAATCCACCAACCCGAACCCAACCCATTTTGACCTCCCTACCTGGTAATCACCATCACATTCTAATCCCCTAACTACCCCATCTAACTTTCTCATCCTTCCCAATACTTGATATAATTATTGTCATAGATGGAAAAAATAGTTTCTAAATTAATTAAAGTGGAGACTGAATTAATAAATCAAAAATAAAAAACAAAGGGGAGTTCAAGTTACAAAACCTCACTATACATAATATATCTATATATAAATTAAATCTCGTTATTAATTTCAAATATGATACAGTGAACAATGCGCCACTATGAACAGACTATTATACACTTAAGGTTTTATCTCAAGAAAAAAAATAAAAAAGGAGAAAATAAAGAGCGAGTACTAAGATCCACTAAAACTGAAACCAAATTTCTTAGCGGTTTATGAAGTAGTTTTGATGGCAGCATACTTTTTAGATTAAATAAAGATTTTTAATAATAGTTCTACTTTAAAAGCATCCCAACAATAGCCACAATATGATGAGATAATAATCATTATGCATGGGGAAAAAAATGGAGGGTACTTGAGGTTCATTGTAGTTAAAATTGGAGGAGTTGAAGTTTAATCCTCTTCAGTACTGCAGCAACATCTTTTATGCTGCTTCTTTCTGCCGGGGACTTTTTTGTACAATTTAGGGCCACTTCCATTATGGAATATAAACTTTGCATTTTCAGTTTGAAATCTGCCTCTTCATCACTCAAAATACAAGCATCTAGTACTGTGGTGAATCCATTGGACATTGAATGGCTCACCCAACTCACCATATTGAAGTTTTCATCAAACAAATCATCGGTCGGTTTTTTTCCAGTAAAAACCTCCATTAACGTTATTCCAAAGCTATAAACATCACATTTTGGCGATATTAATCCTTCAAATCCATGCTCTGCAGAGATCGATTTATCAATCAATACATCTCGTAGAATAAAGATAAGGAGACAAGATGTGCCATGTTTACCATATAGATTATTATGAATAAAATAAATTTGCGATTTTCAGTAACCATTTTTTTTACCTGGTGCGATATAACCTAATGTAGCAATGGTCTGGGTGTACGTGACAGTGTTCTCTGGGCTTAAGAATTTTGAAATGCCAAAATCACTAAGATGTGCAACCATATCATGGTCCAATAATATGTTGCTGGGCTTCAAATCGCAATGAACTACTGGTGTCAAATATCCGGTATGGAGATATTCCAAAGCCAAGGCCACATCAATCATGATGTCTAACCGTTGCATGAAATTTAAGAAATAGTTGTGAGGGTACAACAACTTTTGAAGACTACCATTCGACATGAATTCAAGTATTAATGCCTTGAAATCTGGGGATGAGCAATTGCTAATGACTTTTGTGAGATTTCTATGCCGAAGATTACGTAATACTTCACATTCTCTGTCAAAACTTTTAAATGCTCCCTGCACTTCCAAATTGAACACTTTAATCGCAACAATTTTTCCGTCATCAATGACACCTTTGTACACTGATCCAAAACTCCCCTTCCCTAATAAGTTTCTCTCATCAAAACCATCGGTTGCTTGAGCAAGTTGATAGTAACTAAACCTTTCTTGTGCAACGGGTAAAATTGAATCGATCATTGTTGGAACTGGAACTTTTCTTTTAGTCAAGAATCGACGGTAGTAGAAGCATAAAAAAGCAGTGACACCCGCAACGAAAGCTGAGCCAAGCAGAACAAATAAAACCTTTGATATATGATGGTGTCTCAATTCATGGGGTGAACTTTTTTGGCAAGGAGGGACACCAAACCTTTCATCTCCGCAAAGTGCTTTGTTGAAAATGAAGGATTCACTTGTTAAGCCTTGAAATGAACCACCCATGGGAATTTCACCACTTAGACAATTAAAAGAAACATTGAAATACTTAAGATATCTTAGTTTCTCCAATGTCTTAGGAATCACACCGGAGAGATTATTGTGTGATAAGTCCAATGTTTCTATGGCAATTATCTCACCAAGTGACTCGGGGATTGTACCTTGAAATTGGTTGAGTGCTAGTGATAGATACTTCATGTCCGTTAAGCCTCTAATTGTGCTAGGAATGACACTTGAAAGGTGATTGATTGAAAAATCTAGCAACGTCACAACTTTCAATGACCCAATTTCAGGAGGTAAAACCCCCATCAAAAGGTTATTAGAGAGGTTAAGTTCTAAGAGATTTTTGAGGTTCAACAATTTGACAGGGATGAAAGAATTTATTCTATTTGAATCTAGATAAAGATACCTCAAAGCGGTAACATTGCCCAGACATTCTGGAATTGGTTCTGAAATACGATTTCTGCTTAGAAATAAACCTTCCAATTTTGGCAACCCACATACTTGATTAAGCATTGCCCTTTTCAATCCATTGGTATCTATATATAATTCTTGAAGTTTCTGCAAACCTTTAAATGTTTCAGGAATTGAACCTCTTAGATGATTTTTTCCTAGGTTTAACATAATTAAACTACTCAAATTACCAAATTCCTCCGGAACCTTTCCCTTGATGTTATTATTTTGTATATAGAATTGCATGAGAGAAGTCGAAAGATTCCCAACTGACTTAGTGAGATACCCATTCAAAAAATTGTCGCCCACATCTAGCATCCTCAGATCCTTACAGTTGGTAAGTGAATTCAAAAATTCAAGCTCCATAGTTCGAGGGCTACTTGTAAAGTAGTTTTTGCCTAAATTCAACCATTCAAGGAGTCTCCCAAAACCCTCTGGAATCGTACCCACAAAGTTATTTCGGCTCAAATCAACCTCTTTGAGATTAGAACAGTTTGAGATTGATTTAGGTATATCACCATGAAGATTATTCGACTCAAGAAAAAGAAGTTCTAAATTTGGAAGGTTGCCACATAAGTCTGATGGAAGATTCCCTGATAGGTTATTAGACTCTAAACCTATTGCCGTTAGGGTCGAAATGTTGAAAATCTTAGCCGGTATGGTACCACTTAAATTATTGCTACCTAAGGCGAGCACCTCCAAGTTGTTCAAATCGCCAAACGGTTTTGGTACTTCCCCTGCAATATTTTACGTCACAAAAGAAATTATACAGTTGAATAGCTAGCTATTCAGGAATACTTCAACTATTTTAACAAGCTGTAACAACATTGAATAAAGGGGGGCGAGTTTGTGGGATTCGGTATAGCATGATCGTTTGTTGTATTGTTTCAGTACAAAAATTAAATAAAACACTCATCTTGAAAGGAAAAGAATAAACCAAAACGTGGCTAGGTAACAATTATTTTTCTTTATTCGGGGTACGTTTTCACTTCATTAGTAGAACTTATTTTTCGAATTCATTAATAGAGAACTGGATTATAGTAAAATTTCTATTCATTTAATACTTTAGGCGCCTGGACTTTTTTGTCCATAAACTATTTTTTGATTTAATTTTCATCCATATTATTTTTTATGTGAACAAATAAGTTCTGAAAGTTCTTTTTTGTTTCAAAACTGGTCCAATTCACTAGAAAGTGGAAACCCATCTCTGTAGCCAACAATTCGGTAAAATTTGTATTTTTTTTAAAAAAAAAAAGTTCTAAGATTTTGCAGTGATGTGTATCAAATTTTGGCATTGTACATTGAATTTTCAATATGATTAGAATGAAAAACAACTTTTGAAGAGTTCTTTCTCTCTCCTCTGAGAGCTTCTCTCTCTAGCGAACGACGTCCCACTGATGACGTAAGCTTGCCATGGCGAAGGGGAAACTAAAAGGGAAGAGAGCGACCAAAAACACAATTACTGAGGAAGAGAAAACACCGGTAAGGAATCAATTGACGTATGACTTGCCGAGAAATAGGGTAGAAGGGTTAAGTGAAGGAGAAAAGGAATTGGGGAAGGAAGCAAACCCTAATAGAGAGGATACTCTGGCAGATCAATTCGAAACAAATTGGAGCAAGGTAGAAAGAATCCAAGATATGCAACACTTCGGTGACACAATTCGAAGACTGGAAGTATCGGAACCAAAAGGGGACACCAACAATAATTACTGGGAACCCTCAGTAATTAGCTATGTTTTGGGGGCTAATCCTCCCTTGAAAGTCATGGAGAACTACTACAGAAACCTTTGGAAGAATTGTGTGTACAAGGTATTGTTGCTACCTTCTGCTCTCTATTTGATTCGTTTTCATTCAATAGCAGTTGGGGATGATGTATTGAATATGAATATGTATCATATGGGAGCCACACCTGTGATAGTGAAGCCTTGGAGCATTGAAAAAGTAATCAATTACATGGAAGTAACTCATGTCCCTGTATGGGTTCAGTTTCATGGCCTGGTGTTAAAGTATTTGAACCCTAGATCACTAAGTAGGCTGGCTAGTAACCTGGGTCGAGCTATTATGGCTGATGTTGAAATAACGGAAACGACAAAAGTGCAATATGCACATGTATTAATTGATGTAAAAATACAGGATCTCCCTCCCCCAAAATGTGGTTTATGAAGATGAATTGAGAATTATACAACACCAATATATTTTTTTATGAATGGAGGCCGACTCAATGCTCCCACTGCAAGGGATACGGTCATGGAATAGAAGACTGCTGGAAAAAAAGTAGAAAATAGAGGAGAATCTCTTCCCAAACATATTGAAGCCAAGGAGAGAATACTAAATGGCAAGGAATGGAGACAAGTCCAAAAAGAAAAAGCAGTTGTTGTTGAGGAAGAAGATCAATCACAGCAGAGAACAACTGACATACCCGCAGGAGTCAATAAAGCTGAGAAAATCAGATAGAGAATTAAGACTATTCATGAACATAAAGATCTGTCCAGCTCGAGGTTTACAGTGCTTGAGGAAGAGGATGAAGCTAGCACCAGTAACACCAATGTGGATGATAATGAAAAAGAAATGGAAGGAAGCAGGATACCTTTTTCCCCTGATCCTGGTAATTAAGGAGTACACTTTTATACTGGAACATTAGGGGCCTAAACAACCCCATCAAGCAAAAAGAACTAGCTAGATTGGTGTCCTTTTACAATATAGACATAGTATGTGTTATTGAAACAAAGTTTACTAGATCAAAAGGGGTGAACTATTTGAATAGGATGTGAGTCATTATAATTCATTTATGTGCTTTGATATACAAGATAGAGGGAGAATTTGTATATTATGAAAAAAAAAGAGAAATTCAACTCAATATCATACTAAGTACTAATCAAATGGTGCACTGTATGGTAAAGAGATTGGATGACTCAGCATATTATCTCACAGTAGTATATGGGAGTAATAGTATAACTGAACGGTCACTTTTATGGGATAAACTAATAAAAGTGTCTCTAAATATCACTGGTGCATGGATTATTATGGGAGATTTTAACAATGTGTTGAGAGCTGAGGAAAGACTAGGGGGAAGGCCTGTTCAAACGGTGGAAATTTAGGAGTTTAGAAGATGTGTTGAAGAATGCTAAGTCTAGGATTTAAAACATTAGGGTTTTCGGTACACATGGAATAACCGGCAGATGGGTCTAAATAGAATTATGTCAAAGATTGATAGAGTCTTAGTTAATGGACAAGGGGTGTTGAAATTCCAATACTCTTTAAATACTGTACTGCCAGAGGGTGTTTCTGACCACACCCCTCTCCTAGTCAAAACAGATGTAAGAGTTAAGCAAAGCCCTAAATCTTTTAAATACTTTAAAATGTGGAGCTTAGACCCTTGTTTAAAGAATATAGTTGCAGAGAGTTGGAATTAGGAAATCAGAGGCACTAAGTAGTACCAATTGATGAAGAAGATGAAGAGACTAAAGAAAAGCTTAAAAATACTGGAAAGAAGCAGATTCTCGGATATACAAGTGAGAGTAAAGCAGGCTCATGAAGAATCGGGAGAGGTACAAGGCAGACTTTATGGCAATCCTCAACATGAACTCTTGCAAAAAAAAGAAAAGGACAGTAGAATGAAATACTTCCAGCTATCTAGGGCTTACGAAAATTTTCTATCTCAAAAGGCTAAGGAAGAAAAGATAAAAATCGGGGATACTAACTCGGAATAATTCTTTGCTAGAGTAAAACAGCAAATGGTTCAAAACAAATTTTGGTCATATATGCAGCCTGATGGGACCTTAGAATCAGAATGGAGCAAAGTGGAGGAGCATTTTGTTAGCTTCTACGAACAACAACTGGGGCAAACTTTTGAGAGATGCATATCAAAAAGAGAAGTTTACCAACAAGGACCAAGACTCACTGTTCAGCAGCAACTGGATTTAATTAAACCAATCACAGCAAAGGAGATAAATCTAGCTATGTGGCAGATCAATGGCACTAAGAGCCTAGGGCCAGATAGGTTTGACGGTGGTTTCTTTAAAGCTGCCTGGTCAATTGTCGAAACTGATGTGATAGATGCAGTGAAAGAATTTTTTGAATCAAGGCAGCTACATAAACAAGTGAACTCGATGGTGCTTGCCCTAATCGCCAAGACAGAATGTCCAAAGCATGCAAGTGAATATGACCCATTGCATGATGCAATGTGGTCTATAAATGTATCTCCAATGTTTTAAGTGAGAGAATGAAATATGTGTTGGAAGTTTTAGTAAACGAAAATCAGAGTACCTTTGTCCAGAATAGGCTTATCCTGCATAATGTGCTGATAGTTCAGGAAATGATTAGACTCTATTGAAGGAAAAATGTATCTGAAAGGTGTTTGATGAAGATCGATATAAAGAAGCATATGACACTATGGATTGGGCATTTGTAGTAGAAATGATGAGTGGATATGGCTTCCCAGTCAAGTTCACAAATTGAATTCTGGAAGGTGTAACCACAACAACCTTTACAGTGGTGATAAATGGCTCGAATACTGACTTCTTCTAGGCGTAACAAGGATTAACGCAAGGGGACCCCATTTCCCCGTTGCTTTTTGTCCTTGTAATAGAGCATTTAACAAGAAAGTTAAAAAAGTAGCAGCTAATCCTAATTTCTTTCCACCCTCTATGTGTAGGTTTAAAGTGGACAAACATTAGTTTTGCAGATAATTTAATATTATTCAGCAAAGCTGATGAATCCACTGTTAAGAGTAATGACAGGGTTCAAGGAGTTCTCAGCTACCACAGGCTTATACACAAATGCTCAGAAATCCAGTATCTTCTTTGGAGGAGTCACAATAGAGAAGAGAAAGAGAATATGTCAGATTACAGAGTTCCAAGAAGGTGACTTTCGAATGAGATTCTTGGGAGTTCCATTATCCCCGCAGAAGTGTACACAGTCAGAATGTGATAGCTTAGTCCAAAAGATGATTGCCAGACTCAAATGTTGGAATACACGGCATCTGTCGTATGCAGATAGACTCCAGCTCATAAATTCAGTTCTATCATCAATGCATGTATACTGGGATGTAGTCTGTAAAAGAAAAGGTGAAGGGGGACTAGGAATTAGGGACATTATAATATGGAATCAGGCTGCCATTTTAAAAGAAGTCTGGAGCATAGCCAAGAAGAGTGATTCTTTGTGGATAAAGTAGTTGCATGAAATCTACATAAAAAAAGAGTCAATCTGGACAGTAGAGAAGAAGCCAGATACCAGTCGGCACTGGAAGCAGCTTCTAAAAATCAGAGATCTAGGAAGAGAAAGATTTGAAGTGGGGAAATGGAAAAAAATCACAGAATGGGATGTACAGTATCACAGTAGGTTACAACTGGCTGCTAGGAAGTGGGAAGAAAGCACCAGAAGCAGTAGTAATATGGGCTAAAATGAATGTGCCAAAACATTCATTTATAACATGGTTAGCTTGGAAGGGGTGGCTCTTAACAAAGGATAAATTGATGCTAATGTCTATCTCTGGAGTAGACCCCTAGTGTGCATTATGTCAATCTGCTCCTGAAAGTCATCACCATCTGTTCTTTGACTGTCAGATCACTGCTGAAATCTTCTTAAAGGCACAAAATTGATTGGGACTACAAGCACCACTAGAATGGACTGCATGGAGAAGAAGAGTTTTCTACATATGGAGAAAATCCAGACTGAAAATCAAAATTTGGTGTGCTACTTTGACTGCATTTGTCTATCATGTTTGGGAGGTGAGAAATAGTTGTATTTTTACAGGGAAGCGAAGGAGCAGCGAGAGTATATTTCAATTGATCAAACAGGAAACCTTTTAGAGAGTGCAAACTGTCAGCAGGAAAAAATGGACTACACGGCAGAGCATAGAATTATAGAGCGGTATTTTGCAGTCCAATAGCTTTTGTAAATTGTAGGTACTTAGACTTTTTTGGATGTAAATATTGTCCCAGTTTTGATAGATAGAAAAGTTTTTACAGTTTTTACAGTTTCATCAAAAAGAAAAACAACTTTTGAGATGAATATTAAGTTGAATTATGTGGAAACTATTTTTATAAATAAAAGACATATAGCTCGTTTGATGATAAAAGTACTGCTCAAATAAATTTTAATAAAAAAATGATACTCATAGGAAAAAATTAGTAGGTAGTGCACAAAAAGTGATGTTGTTTGAGTTTAAACTATCCTGATAATCTTAAATACATAACTCCAAAGAGAAAATTTAAAAATGAATGGATGTGATTCGATGTACATCATATCTTCATAATTTTCCCTATAAGTTATTCTTATTATGTATCATTATTCCTTAAAACAATATTGTAAAATTTGATAACTAGTTAAGTATTGCTTAGTAATCTAAACAATAAGTATACTTGTGAGAATATTTACAATTGCACAATTGAATGATAAGTATTGCACATTTAGTTAGGTAAATTATTTCATGGGATTGGACCCGCGAATTAAATGGTGGATCTTCCTTCAAATCTTGACATGTGTCGTTGGTCTTATTTATTTTAGGGTCTTTTTTTTTCAAATCTTATAAAATCCATCAAAAAAATTTTGGAAAATGAGTAAAAAAAATCTAAACTTTTGAATTATTATACTAAATAATCCATGAATAAGAGTAATTTTGTTATGCACGAATCTACTAATAGTTGACGAGATTTATCCAATAAAATTCACTGAAGTATATTCCTCAGACTGAAAATTTATCAAAATTGACAAAGCAGACTGGATGGTCATTTATTTAACGTTGATGGTTATGATGTTTTTCAAGATGGTCTTGTTTGTATAATTTAGATGGTCCCATTGATCCTCATGTTGTGTGATTTTGGATGGTCCAACTCTATTACTTTGGATTGTCTTGTTATATAATCTTGATGTTGTTGTATATTTGGATGGTCATGCTATAATTTTGATGGTTCTCCTTTTTTTTTTTCTTTTGTATGAATGGTGTTCTTGTATAATTGTTGGATTGTTGCTTTCTATAAATTTTAGAGTCTTGTCATAACTTTTTTGGATGGTTTTTCTCAATAATCTTGATGGTTTGATTATATAATTTGGGTTGCCCTGTTTTTGTTTTCTTGGGATGGTCCTGTGGTCTATTGCGTCTTTTTTACGTAATCGTGCTATACAATTTTCGATGGTCTTGTTGTAGAATTTTAATAATTTTTTTTTTCTTAGATGGTCTTTGTTATATGATTTTTCGAATGATCATACTCTATCATTTTGAAGGTTCTACTGCTGGTTTCTGGATGATCCTTCTATAAAATTTTGGAAGTTCAATTGTGAGGATTTTTTTTTTTTTGTGTATGTTTTTCTCTGCATTTTTATGATCTCGTGTTTTTTTAATGGTCGTACTCAGTAAATTTTATGGTGTGAGTATTATTTTTTTAATAATTATATATATGTGTGTGTGTATATACGTATATATATATTTCATAGTTTTAGTATAGACAAATTTGATGGTTCTACTGTTTTTCTATATGCTGGATGGAAATTCCAAGTTAAATCTACTAGAAATTGGAGAGGTGCCACAATTAAGGGGAGACTTTTACGTGGATTTACAATTACCTACAGACCCGGGGCGCGCGGGGGTGTGGCGTGTTGTGAAAGTTATTGTCACAAAGTTATGCACGCTTAAAATAACAAATATTACACTCGTGATAAATAAAGTATGCGTGCACAATTAGTAGTAAAGGATTGAACAATTTAATAAAAAAGACACTACTCTTCACTCTCTTTAAAACGCTTAAATAATTCAAATAGGTAAGTAGTACTCCCTCCATTCTTTTTTATATGTCTTTGAAGAGAATTTATCGAAAGAAAGAAAATTATTAATTAATGTAATTAAACAAAAATACCCGTATTTAATGGTGTATACAACTCATCACAAAGCAATAAAAATTCATTATTAACACTGTATCATTTCCAGTGCCGGGACAATGTTTGCAAAAAAAATGATCAAATATGTTTCGATTTGTGAAAACGACATATATTTAAGAAAAATCACTAAATCCTAAAACGACATATAATTAAAAAGAAATAGAGAGAGTACTTAAAATAGTCGAACTATAAATGGAACCTTAAGAACATTAAATACCTTATAAATAGGACCAAACTTAAAAAAAAAAAACCTATAATAAGGGTTAAGGGAGTATTTAAGTAAGAGACAGGATCTTAATTACGTACCTTCCAGGCGGTTCTCATCAAGATAAAGATATTGAAGGCCCTTCAAGTTTCCAATTTCTTTCGGTATAACTCCTTTCAGATTGTTATGCTTAAGACACAGTTCATCAAGTGCCCTCAAGCTTCCGATTTCTTTGGGTATGGATCCACCAAATTCATTGTAGCACAGGGCCAACATTTGCAGTTCCAAGCATTGAGAAAAATTCGATGGTATTTCACCATATAAATTGTTCTTTGACAGGTTAAGCCAGTAGAGATTCTTAAGATGGTTGCACATAGACATAGGAAGAAGGCCTGATAAGCTGTTATTCCTCAAAGCAATAACTTGGAGTGTAGAAATATTGAATATCTCTGGAGGAATAAGGCCTGAAATTTGGTTATGATCGATATCAAATATTGTCAAATTTTGAAGACTCCCGATACCTTTTGGGATACTTCCTCGAAGAGAATTGCATGACAATTCAATCTCCTCAAGGCTGGAAAGGTTAGAGATAGAAGTCGGGATAGAACCCGTGAAACTATTATTCATTAAATCCAAAAACCGAAGTTCACTCAAGTAACCAATCCATGATGGAAAATCACCCCCAAGATTGTTGATGCTGAGATCAAGAACTTCCAATCGTCGCAGACGAGACAATTCCTCTGGCAGCTCTCCATGAAAATTATTACCATACATTTCCAGAGAGACGAGAAAAGAAAGATTCCCGAGTTCTGGAGCTATGGTGCCTGAAAGACCCATATATGAAACGTTCAAGGCGGTTACTCTACGATGACGAGAACCACAACTGACTCCAATCCAATCACAAACTGAAAGAGAAGGATCGGCAGACCAATTCCTCGAAAGAATTTGGTCAGGATCAGATGTAATGAGATTTTTGAAGGCCAGAAGCGCATATTGATCAGTGGTAATATTAGTCCCTCCCAAAAAGATTGGTAGGAAACTAAGGAACAAACATAAAATTGGAAAAATGAAAGAGATCATTATTTTTTCTTTTTTTGCCAGTGTGTAAGAATTGATCAGATTCTTTTGTTTGTTTTTCTTTTTCTTCTTTGCTTTGAGTTTTGAGCTCAGGAACCCGCATTATAAATATAGAACTTTGTAGTTTGTACCAAGAATTAATAATGGTCTCCAAAATTAATTAGCAAAAAATAAATTAACCAGAAGCAACCTAATTAACGTACCTTGAGGTTGATTGATAGGCAAAAGAAACATGAAAAATTTTCTCGTTCTTTAATCATTGCGTTGATTTAATTTGACCGGATAACTGCGTCTAGTCCTTTTCATGGTCAGTTGTGCGCGTGTTTTGAATGATTTAACTTAGGACATCGACGATCTTAATTTAGACAGATTCCTCCCCATTTCATAGTTATTTTGCTATCTTTATCGGGTCTCGTTCAATCCAAAACTTTTACCATACATGACCATTGAATTATGGATAGAAGAATGACACTCACAAGTAAAAGCTTATCAACATTGTATATTTGTATTACATGACCATTGAATTATAATAAAATGTTCATCATTTTTAAAACCGATCGAACCACCATTAAATATGAAATATTAAGTCCTTCCTAAATGAGAACTTAATCTAGTGCTATTAATTAAAAGTTATATTTCATTTCGAAGAATCATCAACCTTTATTGAGAGGGGGGGAGAGAGAGAGAGAGAACAAAGTTCATCATTTGTAACCAAAAACTCATCATAAAAAACTAAAAAATAAAATAAAGAGACTTTATCATGTATATAAAAAAAATCCAATCATTAAAAAGTTAATTAATCCACCATGTTTGTAGACTAGAGTTTATCAAACACCTTAATTAAAAGTTATATTTTTTTCAAATGAAAGTCAGTTACATATCAACTAAAAATCCATCATTAAAACAAGAGAAAATCCATTATTTGTAAGAAAAGTCTATCATTAAAACAAAAACAAGTCAAAAAGATCCATTATTTTCAAACAAAGGACGTCCATCAATGTGTGTGTGTGTGAGAGAGAGAGAGAGTGAGAGAGAGAGAGAGACAGAGAGAAGATCTGTAAACAAATCATTTTTTTAATAAGTAAATTAATAAAAGAAATTCCAACACTTGTAAACTAAATGGCTGTCTAGCACCATTAATACAGTTAATGTATTATCCCTTTTTTTTCCGAAAAGAAAATCATTCGCAATAGAAAACTCCGTCATAACTATTAATAAGTGAAGACAGAAAAACATATTCATTGCAAATAGGTAGACATTTGGTTTATTGATCACGAATCTCAATAGATAGACATTGGGTTTATGAATAATTTTTAAAAATTACATAAAAGAGTTGATACATGATAGATTCTTAAAAAAAAATAAAAATAAAAACCCACATAACAAAACAAAAAGAAACATACTGAGGACTTATGGGTCTCCGTAGATGCATATTCAACTCTTTTCCGTAAAATTAATAAGTGCTGAATTCAAGTATATTAAGCTAAATAAACTGATTTTACTATAACTATTCTTCTTTTGAATTCAAGTGCTGTTATTGTTGTGGAAAATTTTCATTTGAATGGTCCATCATTTTCTTGATAGTACGTAGTGGGGTGGCAAGACTTCCAAGTCTCAAGTAATGGCCTACTATCTTGACGTATTGACTTATTGACTTTACAAGTCTTCGACGTGGATTATGGTTTAGATTTTAGAATTAAGCTCTCTGACTTGAAGTCGTCATGAATGTCCTTGCTTTTGGATCGCATAACTCCTTCAGCAGCGACTAATGCAATTAATTAAGCAGATTGTTCCCTTCCAGTCTTAATCATAGTTCGGAATTCAGCATTGTATATATTTAATTATAAGAAATCTTCTACGATCTAATTGTTCTTGTCGTTAAAAAAACCTACCTTTTCAGTGGGCAAATTGATCACAGTTGTTAGTACTTAGTGGTAGCCGCCATGCTATATGAAAAAAAAAAATTTAAAAAAAAAAACGAAAGAAAGAAACAAGTATTGATGAAATTAATTCTGAAATGGTACGTATAGCTGGTATAGATTGGCGATATTGTTGAGGATTTTCCTCAATAAATTTGTTTTTGGAATGAAAAGAGTTCCGGAGAGTCAAAAAGTCAAAAAGAAATGAACACGATGAATTTTAAGTGAATCAATCTTTAATCTCCCAAGTTTCAGCGCAAGCTAATGATTTTCTTTTTTAAAAAAAATTTGTCAGTCAACTTGGATTTACAAGTTAGATGTGATCATTCAATTTCAACCATTTTCCCTCTGTCCCCCCTCATATTTTGTTTAGTACTGTACTACTTATGTCCCAAATTAAAAGTGTACCTTGAGTTTTTAAAATTTATATGAAAAATATTATTAATCTCAAAATTCAATCTGAACTTTTTTTAGGATCCTCCAAATATATTTTAAACATGATGGGTGAGAGTTTTGTTAAATATGTTATGCAGATTGAAATTAATTAGTTCGATTTATAATATTATTCTCGTGCTAAATGCTAACCGCAAACTCCAATTTAAAACATCAGACCTATTTTTTAATTGGTAGATTAGTACGTGAAATAAACATAGTAATTCATTACAGTTTACAACAAGAAACAAAGAAGTCAAAAAATTAACTGAGTGCCAATGCCATTCCCAAAGATCTCCAAGATGACAATGCCTAAGATTTTTTAGTTAGGTTCCTTTAACGCGCAACTAGGGAGAGCATTCCAAGGGTTTGTTATGAATATAGGATATGACACAATAATGGGACCAGAACTATGAGGTCAAGGTTTACAGATAATTTGAAAGTTGGAAAAGCGTCATATAAATATTATGAAGGCAGAAAACTTGAGTGTCATCCAGATGGTCGAGAAGAAAGAATTTGTTGGCTTACATGAGAGTTTAACTCGGGGCATTTGTGATATATATGCTTCGATAAGACTGGAAAGTCAGAGAAGATATGTTTTCCGTTAATCTAATCATATAGCAAATTACATGGCATTGTTGGCTGTTAATTATCCAAATCGCTTACAGAGAATTCGTGGTTGGAGTATAATATTATTTTTTTTTTTTTGAGAAAGTACCTATATATTAATTAATTTAGAGTTCCTAAATTATTATCTTGGGCTCTTGTGTATGCTAGATTATGCAAGTCTAATACATCATTCCTACTGACTTTAATTAAATTGCATGATTCAAAACAAGAAATTAATTGGCATAATAATATAATGACTTCTTGTGCCTCCGTGGGAAGAGTTTCCGATCTTTGGTTGGTTGTTAGCAGTTCACAATCAGTTCGACTAAAGAGGATGCATCCTGCAATGCATTAAGGCAACTCATAGCCTCTGTCTGAAAGGCCGATAGTGATGATATGATGATGGATTTGAGTTGCATCAATAAATCTGTGGATGAGGTTATCTTCTAAGCACCTGCTGCTTGTCTTGAATTTGTATGAAAAGAACTATCAAAATCAATGAAAGCCTATCCTTAAGGGGTGCGTTGTTGTTGCGCAGCACTATTTATGTAGTTGTGGCGTAGCAGATCCTTTTTCAATTGACTATCTTCCGCCTGAATCATTCTCCAAGAGTGGACAGGATCAGTGGCTTGAGATCACCATATTCTGTCGTTTCTTTCTATCTAAATTCGCCAAAATATAAACAAAAATAACTCTAGATCTTCTGTTGAGGGAGAAGACTACATCCATTGACAATACCAGTTGAGAAGTGAAGTGGCATTGCCTTGTAATATTGACTAGAATTTGGGGTAAGCAAAGCTCTAAATTGCTTGTGAGATCAGGCAGGAAAAGAAGAGATACAGATCATCCTCAATCTGAGTAAAACACCTAGGGCATCTGAGGTCAATCTGCATATGGCGTTTTTGGGGACCAGCTTTTGAAGGGAGGGCATTTGAAACGGCTCTCCAGAACTGCATTTTGTGCATCAACTGAACTCTGGAATTCCATTGTCTTTTTCCATGCCTGTACTTCCTGGTGTTGTGGAGTAGCATTATGTGGTTGGCATCTAAATCTAGCATTCAAAGCAGTTTGATATCCGGATTGGACTGCGTACTTCCCATGAGATGTATGTTGCCAAATCAAAGTGCCATGTTGTTCATTCCTGGCTGGATCGATAAAAATACAAGTGATGTATGGGATGATGTGATATGGGAAGATGGTTCTCAAAAAGGGTAACTTCCACTAGCCATTTCTTCGAATGAGGTCCCTTACTTTGAGATTTGAGTGAGTGGATAGGAAAGAATTCTGTTGGACATGATTTGGGTAATTTGGGATCCATTCCTCAACAGTTCCAATGGTTCTTCCCGAAATGACTTTCCATTTGGTGTCATTCTGTAAGAGTTGAGCTCCCCATAATACACTCTTGTATCCCCATGTGGGATTGGTTGGAGGTTGGAGCTGAGGAAAGCTAAGAGAACTACGGTATTTGTCCCTCTATATGCTGGAAATAAGGGAATCGGGTTGGGTTATTATTTTCCAAGCATGCTTTGTTAGTAAGGCTTGATTAAACTCCTTGGTCGCTTTCAGACCCAAACCTCCCTGGAAAATGGATTTGCTGATTTTCTTCCATGATCGCCAATGGATGCCTTTAGTTTGGGAGTCACCTTTCGACAAGTCGTCGACACACGAGTCAAATATTAGTTACCTACTTAATACAATTACTAGTAGTAAAGCAGAAAGCAGGGTCGATCCCACAGAGAAGTAATACTAATTACCAGGTATAAATTACTCCTATTATTATCTAGATAAATGATGATCTCAGATTTATAAAATTTAAACCTAAAATAAAAGCAAATAATATTAATTCAAATAATCAGACAAAGAAAACCTAGGACATTGGGTTCACCTACCGAATATTTGGGTTAGTTCAATTCACAAATATCTGACTTTTAACTTCCATTAATCTCACAACGATTCACCTAATTAAGAACTATACACTCTCGTGTTATAATTCTCTTACTTATATTAACCCTATGACTACTCTCGTGACTATAGGGATTAACAAAAGCACATTAAGACCATTAAGATTCAAATATTGCAAAGGTTATAATCTTACTCTCGTAGCTTACAACCTAAGTTTATTATTCCTACGAACTAATATTAATCTTCCACTCTCGCTACTTCGATTGATATCTTCAGACATGCAAATAGTGGCCAATTACTTACACGAATTAAAACAAGAATAACAGATATTAATTAATGGAAAAATCAAATAA